TATTTTTGTAGTTTATTTATTAAATTGTTTTATCCCAACCCATCAGTTTATTTTCCCTTCACCCCTTTGATTCTCTTTGGGGTTCAGCTCAGAGCCCGCAGCACCCCAAGGCAGGATGCTCTGGGGAGCCTTAGGACTAGCTCTGTGGTGTGACAGCCTTTCTGAAGGCAGGCGAATCAGCCAGCTCTGAGACAAGCTGGTACAGCTCTTCTAGTAAAGAACAGTAACAGTCACCTCTTCTCCAGCCAAGAAGACAAGGCCCATACATGGCTTTTGAGTAATCCAGGAAGAAAAAACTAAAATAGCTGTATTTATTTTCAATAACTCATTCAGGTAGAATGGGTAAGTAGTTTTACAATGCTGATTTATGAGCTGTTGCAAAATGCAAGAGCTGTTCATGATTGCAAATTGCGTTGATCTTGACTCCAGGAATTTCAGTACTGTAATCTTTTACATAGTTTTATTCCTTTCCAGGATGATGCTGTGCAGTTTTGAAAAGCTGGATGTGGCTTTGGGCAACCTGGGCTAGTGGGAGGTGTCCCTGCCCATGGCAGGGGGTTGGGACTCGATGATCTCTATGGTTCCTTCCAACCCAAACCATTCTGTGATTCTGTGTTTCTTAGATAACAAGTGCTGGCACTCTCCAGCCATTGGGGTCTGGGGTTCCCACGAGGAAATCCTTGTACCCTGGGTAGTTTCACTGCCTCTTCCTAGCCCGATTCTCTTTCTTCCTCCAGAAATGGCACTCTCGTCATATGGGTGTTTAGCATAGCACAGGAGGAGCAGTGCAGTTTGCATTTACATTGATGTGTAAACCCGACAGAAAACATTTCTATTCTTACTGCCCCAGATTCCTCCTGGCTGTGACTAACCATTGCTGAGCCACAGGAGTTACCGTTGCTGCCTCAAAGCGCTGCGGGCTCGTCTTCTCAAAGGTTTCTCTCTCTGCTTTCTTTAATCAAGTATGAATTGGGGGCCAAGCGACATCCCACTGTCTGTTTAAGGAAGATAAAATGCCAGAAATCCTGCTTTGGGCTTGTGAAGTCAGCTCAGAAGAGCTGGGCTCACGTATTGTATTCTGGTTTTCCTCTCGGTCAGAGTTCTTCTAATATCTGCAAATCGGAGAGGCTGTGCAGCGGCATGCCTGTGATACGCTGAGACACCGTTGGACTCATTTTGGGCTCTGAGATGTCAGGCTGCCCCAGCTAACGCCTCCCAGCAGCTCCCAGAGATGCGCGGGGACGCGTGCTGTGCCACGCTCTGCCTCGTCGGCGCGGGGAGACGGGAGGGGCGGTGACAGCAGCTTCTCCGTGCGGCTCAGCCGGTTGCTCTCGGGTTTGCTGACACCCCAGTGCTGGGCTGCGCTTGCACAGAGTCCCTGCGTGACGGGGCATCCTGATGGGTAGGAGGAATGGAGCGGAAAGGAGCTCTCTGAAGAGAAATGGGTTGTAACTGTGCTGTTTGTCCTGAAACTATTCACTAATGATAAGAATAATTTTTTTAAAAAAAGCTCTTTTTATGCAGCCCAGTTTCTGTGTCAGCCTGAGTCTGCAGTGAGCCACGCTGAACCGATTGAGCGTGGGGAATGCACCTGGGGGCTGCCTGGGGATCCCCAGGAGAACCTGCTGCCACCTCCTCCATGCTGTCTCTTCTACTCCTCAGCCTTCCCTCCTAAACGTCACCATAAACAGTCACTCCATGTCACTTGTACTCTCTGTTACCATAGCGTGCACGGGCGTTGGACGAATCCATCCCAGGAAAGACATCCCTTGTTCTCAGAGCCCATGGTCCAGCTGCTTCTGGCAGGGACAACAGCCCATAGCTCGAAGGGACGGTTGATGTTTGCAGTGTTGTGGGTTTTTTTTCTCCTCTTCCAGCACCTCTACTTCCATCCTCCCTATCACACATGTTTAGCATTGTTTTCATACAAATTTTTTCTTCCGCCACTGGTTATTTTTAGGGTTGAATTTTCTTGTAGCTCTCTAGGAAGCCTGGTGTTATTGGGGAGTATCCTGTCCTATTGTGTTGGGGGATAAATAGCTTGGAAGGAGGTGTACAAATGAAAATAGAGGTTGTCAGGTTCTCCAGAAATGAACACAGTACACTTGCTCTGCTTTAGAAAATCCCATCTTGCTTCTACTGGAAACACTACATTTTTCCTTCTGATTTTGATGGGGACAGGACCAAGGGCTGTGGGGAACGTGGGCAGAATGGTTTTTCTCCTGCGGGTTTGCACTCTAAGGTACCTTGTTCATCCTGGTTGCAGAGCGCTGCGATGACTGGGGGGTGGACACCATGAAGCAGATCCAGATTTACGATGGGGAACCTGCCAAGATCAAATGCCCGCTCTTCGAGACCTTCTTGAAGTACAACTACAGCACAGCCCATTCTGCTGGCTTAACCCTCATCTGGTACAGGATCGGGCAGGACCGGGATCTGGAGGAGCCCATTAATTTTCGTCTTCCAGACAATCACATCAGTAAGGAGAAAGACACCCTATGGTTCTGGCCTGCTCTTCTCAATGACACTGGAAATTATACGTGCATGCTCAGGTAGGTTGCATGGTGCAGCCTCTGTATGTCTTCAGCGTAATTAAAGGACTTTCATGGAAGCGGGAAAATGATGCTGTTAGCACCATATCTTTCTGTAGGGAGAAGACCATTTACATAAGCACTAGTGGGAAAAGAATGTTACAATTATAAGACCGCTCAGTGCTGAGCCAATTTACTTCGTAATAATGCTTGGAGCCTTGAAAACCTTAATGAACATGCCTCTCCTTTCTAGCTGCAAGTGTCCATGAAAATATTATTGCTGAGCCCATGGCAAAATCCACAGGCAGTCACCATTAAGAAGTGATCTGTATGTCTATAGTAAAAATAGCTTCCGATGCAGGGGTAATGTTTTGACTATATGCTAATTTGGCAAAGATTCATGAGATTCAGACTTCTAGGAAATTAAGTGTCTCTAAGTGTGGTACAAATTGAACGTAGCATCTGCTATGCTCTGAACACAAGAGCTCTTTTTGATCTTCCTCATGCTGTCTCTTGTTCGTCGTGTCTTTGACCCTATTATCTGGTTTACCAGCAGAGGAGTGGATGTGGCTTGTTAGTCATCTTTATAGGCTTTTCTGACCTGCTGTGGCCATCTCTGGTGGTGTTCTCTTTCCCATTTATAAATGAGTCAACTAAGGCTGTACCTACCTCATCAGCATTATGATGCTCATTATTGCCATTGTGATTTTTATTTCGTTCCCCTTCTACAAGAGTAAACAAGTGCTCATTATTGCCATTGTGATTTTTATTTCATTCCCCTTCTACAGGAGTAAACAAGCTTCAGCTAATCAGCCGTATCTTCCTCTCTCCTTAGAAATACAACCTACTGCAGCAAAGTTGCGTTTCCCTTGGAAGTTGTTCCAAAAGACCAACACTCTTGCGTGAGCCATTCAGTAAAACCCACCGAGGAGATGTTCTACTTGGAGCATACCAACGAGAAGATCATATGTCCAGATATTGATGGGTTTTACCCTGCTAGTGTGACACCAACTGTCAAGTGGTACTTCGTAAGAAGGACTTTGGTCTTGTCTGGGCAGTGGGGGAGCGCAGTGTTGTATCTGACAAAGCAACGGTTGGCAGGAGAGTCATGGAGCGACTTTTCTCCCCAGTGAGGGAGCTGTTAATGCAGCTTGACTCATGTTAAGATCTTTGTTTCCATTGAGTTCAAGGGTAAAACTGCCCTTGGAGGAACTTAAATAAAACTGAGAGCCAACGCTGGAATTTTTTTGACCAACATGCAGAAGTGGAGAATATTCCAGCAGGGGTTTAGGAACCTCAGTGCAGGTGCTGGCAGTGTACCTGACCTGCTATGGAAGCAAGGGCAATATTGCTGTAGAGGAAACTGATTCCTATTCCCTCTTCTGTAAAAAAACCCCACCTGCTAATGAAAATAGCATCATTTCTAAAATCCCTTGAGGTCAGGAAGTGAAGTTGTCCATCAGGCCTCAGCAGGGACCGTGAGTGCCCTGTTTGACACAATTCAGCAAAACTTTTCTGAAGATGGAGACACCCCTACCCGACCCTCTGTACTGCTTTGATAATTGGGCTCTTTCCAGCCATCCTCAGGCTCTTGCCTACAGAATTACTGCTCAATTTTATTAAATTTTGACCTCAGTGTTATTCTCTAGGTGGATGGTTTTAGTCAAGAGAGAATAAGAATTCTCAGTGGATGTGCAGCCAGAGGGTTATGGGACTGAATTCTCTAACTGCTTAGAAAGCGCTTTTGCATTTCTAGGTAGAAGGTTCTGTATGAGTGAGTTTAATACTAAAGGAAATTGGCAGCAAATATATCTGCTGATTTAAAAAAAATAATAATTTTAAAAACCACCCCCCCCCCCCAAAAAAAAACAAAAAAAACAACCCAGCTCTCAAACCCTTCAGGAAAAACTTACTTTTTTTATCCAAGAAGAGCGGGTTCACTCCAGCAGTTGAAATGCTTTACTTGTACCATTCATTGAAATTCACATCTCAACAATCAATTAGCAGAATGAAACAAAAAGCCCCATGGAAGTAATTTTTCAGGCAGCAAGTCATCCCATGCTTAATAAAAGTCACTAAAAATGGTATATGACCTCTGTCTTAAACTGCCCCATTATGATGTATCTGATTTGGAAATGTACCATTCAGAAATCATCTCTTGGAGAATGTGCGTGACTTTGGGTTTTATGACAATCGATGTCATCTGCATAACCCCTTTCTGAAAAGGGATCTCTAGCTTGGGACTTGGCAGAGGTGTTTCCTGCCTCACCTGACAGAAAGAGAAGAGTTATGAAGGTTTCTGTGCTACATATTCTCGTTTGCCAATTGCCAATTTTGGGGCCTCATCCTCAGCTGAAGCCAGTCAGGGTAGCTTGATTAGTCCCGAAAGAGTTAGACACACTGTCATCAACAGGGGACATGTCCTTTAGTCTTAGTATCCATTTGTGAATACATCATCATTTTCTTCCTGTCTTTTTTTACTTTCACTCTTTGCTCTGCTGAGGTGCTTGCCTTGATTGCAAATGTGTTTCTGGATCAGAGATCTCTCTTTTATAAAATTGTCTGTATTTAAGGTGGGATAAAACTGTTACGGTCATCTTCTTCATCAAGGTGAACATACCAGTTTGTATTCCAACATGCTCAGTGTCTTTAACTCCAACCCACACAATCACAACTATCATATTCATAGTTTAAAACCAAATCTTTGTGGTAGCATGTAAACAAGTATCTTTACTTTCCAATCCCAAAACTCAAGTGTTTTTCTGCCTGACTCTAGAACTGCAGCTTGGTGGATGGCTTCTATGAGCGATACCCGCAAGGGCCCAGGCTTGTCATCGGCATTGTCCGCAGTCCGTATAAAGGGAATTACACTTGTATTGTGACGTTCAAGGATCATGGAAGAACCTATAACCTCACCAGAACCATACACATGAAGGTGGTTGGTAAGAATGACTTTAAAATGTATAAAATGCAGGTGGGTAACTGCAGAAGTGGTGAAAACAGCCAGAAGAGTCTGCCACAGGTTCCATTTGTGCTTGTGCTCAATCTCCATTACCCAACTGACCTGGGATATTTTTGCTTGCTGGGGTCAGCCTCGTGTGACTGCCTAGGACATGTTGCACTGGAGGTCCTACCCACCACCATGTCAAATGGCCCAAACAACACCAAGGGTGACCGGGCTTAGGCTGGGGAGGTCCAGCCCATGAGGTGGCCAGGGGTACCCTCTGCTGGCATGTGAATGCATAACCCTGGCACTCGTGCTCATTTTTTTTGTCTCTGGTGCTCTTTGCTTGTCATTATTTGTGGGATTGTCCCATTTTAGCCAACTTGCCTTGGTTATCTTGCAATCTCAAAGCCTCTTGTACTGAGGCTGAGACTGTTAACTGGCCAGGCAGGGCTCTAGTTACCCAGCCCAGGGCTTGGACAGGTCTGTGCCAGGCACAAGGGCTCAGCCTACCTGTCAGCTCTGTAGACAGAGCTTAAAAACCCAGGGAACAGTAGAGCACATGCTGAGTCCTGTGGTGACTGCTGCTTTGAGAACTGAATTAAATACCTGCGACAGAAAATGATGTCCAGGTTGTGCCTTGTGGGAGATGTTGAGTGGGAGATAAGAGGGGTATGGAGCTCTTCTGATGTGAAAGCCCCAAAAACTTCTATCTAGACTTTGGAGGAGCCTCAAAATCTGGGTCTGGCGCTCAGTTTGGGGACTAGGTTCAGATTCCTCTTTGCATGGAACTCTGCAGCAGGATTGTATCCCCGGTGAGGTGGGGGCATGTGCAGCAGGGTGCGAGGGCATCGTGAGCGAGGCTGCAGGGACCCCGGGTTCTCACGGAGTCTGGGTCCCCATGGAGGGCTCTCTGTTCTCTCCTGCAGGATCTCCAAACAAGGCCTTGCCACCACAGTTCACCTCTCCAAATGAGAAAGTTGTCTACGAACTGGAAGCAGGTAAATTGCAACGCTTGCTGCCTGCTGTCGCTGCCGGGATGGGGACACCCAGCCAGGCACCGGAGCTCTCCCCTTCCCCTGCGACGGAGTCTGGGTCCCCATGGAGGGCTCTCTGTTCTCTCCTGCAGGATCTCCAAACAAGGCCTTGCCACCACAGTTCACCTCTCCAAATGAGAAAGTTGTCTACGAACTGGAAGCAGGTAAATTGCAACGCTTGCTGCCTGCTGTCGCTGCCGGGATGGGGACACCCAGCCAGGCACCGGAGCTCTCCCCTTCCCCTGCGCCCGCGGTGCTTTACCCCACGGAGCACACGAGCTGCCGCAAGCTGCTGGGCAGACTGTGGGCTGCCAGTTCTCCATGCCAGAAGAGGAAAGCACAGCTTTAAAAGTTTATTTTTGCAAGCACAAAAAAAGGGTAGATATTCAGGCATGAAGGTGCAGGATTGCCACTGCAGAAACAGACAGAGTGGGGACCCTCAGCTGCTTAGAGAAATTCCTGTAGGACCTTGTTTCAGCCCTGTCCCTGGCTGGGGTTTGCTCCAACCCTCCATCATTCAGCCTCTCTGTGGCTTCAGCCTTCTGGCTGCTTCTTGCTCATCTCCTCTCCCTTTTTGGCTGATTATTTCCTAATTAATGACAGCTCTCCTTTTGCTGGCCTCGCAGTGTTGTACGGAGGTACCACACCCCTTCCCCCACCCCATCTGTTTAGACCTTTGGAGCAATTCCCTGTATTGAGTGGATCATGTCCCATTGCATTGCTGTAATAAATGTGATGCCAACGATGATGATGAGCAGCAGAGTCTTCACTTTAGAGCACAGCTTTTTTTGTCTCAGAAGGTCAGACTTCTTCCATAGTCACTCTGCAAGATAAAATCACTTACAGGCTGGCCACAAAGATATTCCCACTCCCAAGCCTGATCTTGATGGGAAGTTAAATGCCTGAAGAAGTGTTCCCACACCAAAATGCTTTTGTGGAGCTGGATCCTTCGCTTTCTGGTGCCTGTTCCCTGTGCAATGGGGATGATGAGCACTGCCTGGCTTTCCAAGGAAGCGGTTGGCATGGAGCATCTCCCTTTGGGTGGGTCGCTTGGTGCAGTTAAGGAATTTGTAACATGTTTGAGAAGGCAGGATATTTTTTTCCTATTTATTGGTCTGTCCTAAATCAACATGTTTGTGGTGTTGAGCTGTTATCAGATGTCTGAAGGCAGATGCAGACCTGGTGTCCTCCTGAAGGGAGACAGAGTTCAGGCTGGTAGGATTGTTGGAAAGCACAAAAGTCAAGGTGATGCTGTTCCTGCTCTGCAGTACTTCACCATGGTCCTTTCTTCCCAGGAGATGACCTTGTTCTGCCCTGTGAGGTCTTCTTCACCTTTCTGAAGGACTCCCGGACTGAGGTGTGGTGGACTATTGATGGGAAAAACACAGATGACATCATGGACCCCAGGATAAAAGTCACACAAAGGTAACACAGTAATGTCAACCCTCACTTATATTGACCCCTCTCGTGGGTCCTGCGGAGGGGCGTGGGTACAGACACGCGACAGTCCCATTTTCCCGGTTCATCAGAAACCCCTGTGTCTGCATGATGCGTGATGAGCACCAGGAGCTCCAGGGAGGAGGTCTCCAGACCTGGGCAGTGTCTTATCTTGCAGAAGGATTTGAGGGAGCTTTCTTTACCAGTTCACATCATCACTTGTTCAGGTCCTGGTGGTGGTGCCAACAGCTGCTGCTCTTGTGGGACTTTGCAAACAGGGGCAGGCAGGATTTTATTCAGAGGAATGTTCCCAAATGGCATAAGTGATAAAATTGTTTCAAAAAAGCAGAGGCTGAACACAAAAATGTGGTATTATACATAGTATTGATTAGGAGGAATAGAGATTCAGTTGGATGCAGAACCCAAATGATGTTCAGAGTCCTGTTTGCTGGGTGCTGGGTTGCATGGGGAATGCAGTTGCTGCCCCACTCAGTTTGCTAATCAATGTGGAAAAAGGCAAGTCAAAAGGAAATACTATTATCCCCTTTTTGCAGATGATCAGTTCAGGCAGGGAGATGAAGTGACTCATGCAGGATTGCACGGGGAATGTGACGTGGGCTCTGAATCCTGAGTTCATGAGCTCATGTTGCTTTGTAGGCAAGAACTTTATCTCTCAAATGCAATGTGACACAGCCGCAATGGGAAAATTGCGAGTGGTAAAAGAAATATTAAGGAAAATCAGATAAAGGAACAGCTGCAGCTGTATTAAAATCTGAAGCGTGTATTGATTTATAAATGTCAGTTTAGGTATTTTGGGTTTTTTTTTTATAGAAAGAGTTGGAAAGGAGTGTGTCATTAAGAACTTGCTGCGGTTTCACATATATAATGCTCAAGTTTTTCTCTTACAGTGAAATTACTAGAGAATTTGAAGACAAAACTATCATAAGGACTCTAACAGTTGCAAAAGCCACACCAGAGGACTTGAAACGGAACTATACTTGCTATGCCAGAAACGCCAAAGGCGAGGACCACAGCCAGGCTGTTGTGCGCATGAAAGGTAAAACACTTGCAGAGCACGGGTGTGAACTGAGGCATGCACGGAGACGGCTGCTGGTCCTGCCTTGAGCCTGGCCCTGCAAAACAGTAGCGGAAAAAATAATTCCATCAGGCCTTTTTCCCCAGCACACGCTGTTCTGTACGCGCTGCTGTGTTATTGCTGTTGTACTGCACTGCTTCTTGAAGGCTGGGAGCAAAGGATGCGTGTCACAGGTACCCCAGCATGGTCCAGTGCCTGGGGAGAGAGAGGGCTGGATAGACCTGCTGTTCTCATCCCAGTTGTACCACAATTTGAGGGGACAGGCTGCATGAAATGATTTCAGGTTACTTGATTGCATGAGGGTTGTGCGGGACACAGCAGCTACTGGTTGGCATCCTCCATTGGCATTGCTCAGGGAGCGAGACAGTCTGACCACGACACTCTGTGCTTGTACTCCTTGCTGGGATGATGCTCCAGACCAGACAGAGCCATCTCAGCATGGATGGTATCAAACTCTGTTCGGAGGGGTTTTTTCCTACATCTTTCTTTCATCAAAGATTTTGTTCCTGTTTCCCAGACCCACTCTCAGTAATAAGAAGTGACCCTCTGCTATAGGTATGTGAGTTTTCCTGATTAAGGTGCATATTTCTGCCTCCTTATCAACCTCATCTCGAGCTTGCTGTAGGTCAGACTGTCCTCTATCCCATATGGGATGCTGTCCTGCCTTGTGTAGCTCATACCAGACACCTTCTCCCCCCAACTCTGCCCTACTAGTATGGGAAGGCTCACAGAGGTTTTTACTGGAAGAGCTCTTTCTTTTGCTTCTTGGGTACTTGTCGTCCTTCTTTTTAGTCCCATTCCATTGAGACAAACCTTTTCTGGATCATTAGGAAGGAACAATAGACCAAACACATAACTGAGAAAGGCTGGAAGCATCTGCTGGTTGTGTTCGTCCTACATATATAATTCTTCTGAGATGATGTTTGTACATGTAGCAGAAGCAAATCTAAAATCTTCAGCTGCTTTCTCTATAAAGCAGTGCCTGAGTGCTGTTTTCTGGTGGACTGATATGTCCTATCCTCTCTCTTCCTCCCCTTTCCGCTTCTGGGCAGCGGGTTTGCTCTGAACAGACCTGGTTACACACCACCCCTCCTTTGTGCTCTGTTCCACCGCAGAATCCAAGAACTGTCCCCGACCACTGCTGGCAGAGCAACCTTAAGCTAAGCTCACTGCAGACCATCCCGCTGCGCATAGGAACACCAAGCATGCCAGAACCTGAGCACTCAGAACTTCTCTTCCATTTTTTAGCAAGTAGCTCTATACGTTGGCTCCAGTTCTTTCATTACATTAGGTTATATGTGTTTGCTGCTTTTTCTGGATGATTTCCCTCTCCTTCTCTTGTACTTCTGTGGCTCATCACTTAATGAAAGCTGTTAAATTCCTTCCATTTTGTTTTTTTGTAATTTCTAGGTATTATATTTCTAATAAAACTTACTAAATCTTGGAATTGGTGATGTTTCCACTCCCTGCTGTTCTTTTATTGCGCAGTTTGCCATTGTGCATGTCGGCTGCCACCTGAATTGCCATAAAAATGGGGTTGCCCAGGGATACAGTTGAGAGTTATTTTCTGTCCTTAATACAAAGAAGGGCAGTGGTATGAGACACTATTAGTTGAAGGGGGGCCTGCGATCTTCTGGCTTGATGTCCATGGGTTGTCCTATTTGTTTACAAGCATTTCAGCTTTTCTGTAATGCACTCTGGTTCTTCTTTCCTGATAGAAAACAATCAGGCCATGGCTGGTTGCATCTTTGCTGTCAGTCTGGGACAAGCTACAAGGACTGTGTGTGTTTGATGGGGAGGGGAAATGGTGGCCAGTGCCTTTATTTTGCTGCAGGTCAGCTTTGGCTGTCTCTCCTAGAAGTAAGTGCTGTTGTATTGCCCCAAGAGTTTGCATATACTGCTGAGAAGGGTCATGTTCATGAGCTGGCTTTGGACTGTGCAGGTGGTTTCCATCAACAGGTCATTCTACCATCTGGCTGCTCCCAGGGTCTCACGTAGAGACAGTAGAGTCCAGCCTGTGCTTTGACGTGCTCTGCCAGCTCAACCAGACCTAGTAACCCAGAACTGGGGACTCCAGGGTGGCCAGCCATCACGTGTCCTGCCAGAAAAGCCTTGGCTTGGGCACTTTCCTCTGAAGGGCCAGCTTGGCTCTTGGCTGTTCCTCTGGGGTGTTTGGCTGCATGTGACACACGAGATTGTTCCTGCTTAGCTGAAGTCCCAACCTGTTCTGTAAACCAGACCCCCTCTTTCTTTTCAAACCTAGTTGTAGCACCGAAGTACACCGTGGAGCTGGCCTGTGGACTCGGGGCAACCATCCTGCTCATTGTGGTGCTGATAGTCATCTATCACGTTTATTGGCTTGAAATGGTGCTCTTCTATCGGGCTCATTTTGGAACAGATGAAACCATTCTAGGTAAGGAGTCAAAAGGCTTACATTTATTTTCTCCTCTACTCTTTGCTTTCATATCGGAATTTTCATATAAGCTATTTTTAGCCCTCTTCACAGCATAATGACATTTTGACTTTCCATTTCTATGCCTGCATTCAGTTGTGTGGGTCATCGTAGAGCAAGAAGAGTCAGGCTTGGGTCAGGGGAAAGGAGAGTGGGGTCCTCTGTATTCTCTGCAGAAGTGAAGCATGGACAGGTCAGGCTCCCTGGGGCTCTGCTGATGGCCAGTTTTTCCACCCGATAGCTAGATAATCGAGATAAGTCATCAAGTTTCAGTACGTCCCTGGTCTCTCTGGTGACTCTATGTAAGGATTCACAGATCCAGGGTGGTTTGCTTTAAAAAGTGGGAAGGCTTCCAAAAGGATGGATCTGGAAATCACCCTTCTGTCCTCAGTTCTTCTCCAGCTTCCCTGTGTTACCAGGAGTTCATCTCTTGGGACTCAGCTGAGATTTCTTCCTCGGCAGGATGAGGAGGGTGTTTGAGCCTCATGGTGTGAACTTGCCAAGGGGGTGAGGCAGCTCTCGGAGGGCGTAGGCAGGGTGCAAGTCTCTGTCTGGTGGGGCTGCTCCTGGCGACAGACAGCAATGAGAGGAAGCAATGTCAGAGATGGCAAAAAGACCTTGGACGGAATGGGTTGGACATCTTGCTGTGGTCTTGTGCCTTCAGCGACCCAGCGGTGTCCAGCTACTCTCACTTGTTGGGTTGGCGGTTGGACTTGATGATTCCTGAGGTCTTTTCCAACCTTAATGATTCTATGATTCAGGCTGGGCACCCAAAGAGGCAGCACCGCTGTCTATTGTAACTATGGAAATCAATGTGCTTTGACCCGTGGTGCCTGGGCTCAAAGCGAGCCTTTGGATCTGCTTTTCCTGTGAAGCCAGTCGAAGGCTCAGCATGTGCGGTATCACAAGTGTCTCTTCTGCCGTTTGTGTTTCCCTGCCCTCCCGATGCTCAGATGGGAAGGAGTACGACGTGTACGTGTCCTACGCGCGCAACGCCGAGGAGGAGGAATTTGTGCTGCTGACGCTGCGGGGAGTCTTGGAGAACGAGTTTGGGTACAAGCTGTGTATCTTCGACAGAGACAGCCTCCCCGGGGGAAGTGAGTATTTCCCAGGGGGCTGTGCTCCGTGCGCATCCTCTCTTTATTGTTCTTTGAGGTATTGATAATTCATAGGAACTGGCCTATTCAGGTTAACTTGATCCTTTGTTTTTTTTTTCCCCATCTCCATTAATGATCTCTTGTTGATATCTTCTGATGCTTTTGTTTTATGTGACAAAGTTGCAGGTGCTCCAGGCCACCAAAAAGGCTGCGGTGGGCACGTGGTGGTGGTTGGTCTTTTCAGCTGCTCTCCCCAGGAGGGATGTACAGAGGGATTGATCTATCAGCATGAGGGAGAAGCACCACTGACCTTCATGCACACCCTCCAAGCTACCTTAGAAGAAGGGAATAAAGTCAGGGTTAGAAAGAAGAGAGGCAGGGGGAGTGTGATTCTGGATCAAACTGGTGGCTCACAGAGGGTAATGGTGAGTGCCTGTAAAAACTAGGAGTGTCTGCTTCGGGGAGGTGTGGAGAACACTGTGCCAACATCAGCGAGAAGATGATGTGCCCTCCCAGAAGTCCTCCCACTCTCCTCATTAATTAGGGAATCTGTGTCTCACAATTCAGTCGCTATGATAAAAAAAAATTTGTTGTAGGTATAGAGACTCATCTCTTCACTAAGGTGTAGATTTTTTTTTTTGCTGTTTCGACCTAAATTATACAGGGTTCTGGACACAGTGTCTGCTGGAGGGACGCAGGGAATCACCAAGAATGGAAGTTTGTGAAACTCTCCAGATGTGCCTACAGTCACCCGGGTGCCACAGCAAGGGCACAAATCTCGCCAACACTCTCAATTCCCAGTGTCCTGTGGACTGTGTGATCCCTGATGCCTACTAAAAGTTCAAAGCCTGAATTTTTGCAGTGCAGACCAATCCACTTTGAATTTGTGGGCTTTGGGTCAGGACCCTACAGATGACCTGTGCTGATAAAGCCCATTGGAATCCTTTTTGTGTAGGACAGGAGGGACTGCTGGGGTCCCAGCCCAGCTCTGTGACAGAGGGAGAAGAATCCAACTGGGATCTTTTATCTTTATGTCCTAGATTGTTGCCAGGGCACAGAACCTCTAAATTTGAGGGCAAATAAATACCTGTGCTTTAGGGGACAGTGAGACAGCTGCAATCCTGGTGCTGTTCCTTCTAGAGAGAGCCTGGATGACATGGCAGGGCACCCTCCAGCCTCTGTTTGCTTGATGCCCGTGCCAGCCTCAGAGCAGGTTGCTCTGAGCTGTTCTCACCAGTTGCTCCTCAAGATGTATGTCTCCCTCCTGTTCCCTCTGCTGCGTCTTGCCATCCTTTCCCTTGGGAAGGTCTCATTTTCCTCCCAGTGCAGCATTCCTGGGCTCCCTGCCCTTCAGCCTCACCCCCGGTGCACTCCCATCCCTGCTCTACCCATCATGGGTAGAGAGTTATGTTGTCCTTGATGAAAAAACAGTGGGAGATGGATTATCCTGTGAGTTTGCTGATGGGAACTCATCAAACATGCTTGACAGCTAAATGAAGTTGCCTGTCAGCATTATTTTATTCTCCATTGTCTTTTCTGACCAGTCAAGAGCATTCCTTTGCCAATGAAGAGTGGGAGATCCTGCAGGAGAGGCTGCAAGCACTGGGATTCACACTTCCGAGGGATTTTCACAGTAATTACAGAAAGGTGCCCAAGGACAGTCTACCTGCAGGAGTTAGAAAGTCAGAGAGGATCCACCATGACGTGTCTCCAGCTTGAAGGGTGTCCCTTTTGGGACACTTCCTTAAAAGTCCTCAGAGCAGTTTACTTGTCACTTTCTAGAAACACTCAAATCTACTTTCATTGATGACAGCAACAGGAACAGCTGGATGAGTAACAGGAGTTAGGATGGTCGTGTTTCCAAAGCAGATTAACCCATGAGGGCACTCGGGGACGGTGTGCTTACTGTGTGTGTTTGGTGGGGGGAAACTGAGGCAAGAGGATTGAAGGGATTACCCAGAGTAATTCTGGACATCTGCCAGAGGAGGATGTAAGGTATTCAGGCTCCCCAACACCTCTTCAGGATGAGTCTTTTCTTTGAGGTCATGTGTTGTCCAGTTGGCAATTTTCCTGCTTTGCTCCAGGGAGCTTGTTTTTCCACTGTCACTAGAAGGAAGCTACCAAAGCAGCCTTCTTGGCCACAGGGCATCCTCATAGCACTGGGTGGTGTCATGTCCATGTAGTACGGCGCCTTTGGGATGTAGCTACCTGGGGCATCTCTGCATAGCATGGGGAGGAGGAAACATCTGCAGGCAGCCTGGGGCTGGGAGTAGAAGATGTCGCTGTCTGAGGCAGTTGGGTACCAGCCATGGTGTAGGATGCCCTACCTGGCATCGCTTGTAGGGTTGGGAAGCATCAGTATAGTCTCTAGAGAGGGCCTCTGTGGGATTGTATTGTCCCCTTCAAGAGACACGTGGTGTCACACCAGTGGCTCAGCAGCACGTTCTCGGCCATCACTAACCACCTCAATGTTTCTTTCTCCCAGTTGTCACAGATGAAACTCTGAGCTTCATCCAGAAAAGCCGACGTCTGCTTGTTGTCCTGAGCCCCAACTACGTCTTGCAGGGGACACAGGCCCTGCTGGAGCTCAAGGCTGGTCTAGAGAATATGGCCTCCAAGGGCGATATCAAAGTCATTCTAGTGCAGTACAAAGCCATCAAGAAGAGCAAAGTGAAGGAGCTGAAGCAGGCCAAGGCGGCCTTGACTGTCATTAAATGGAAAGGCGAGAAATCCAAGTTCCCCAAGGGCAGGTTCTGGAAGCAGTTGCAGGTGGAAATGCCAGTGAAAAAAAATAGTAGGAATTTGGGCCTTGATGGGCTCATACGTATCCCTGAAAAATGTTTGGCACCATCAGAAAACAAAACAAACCCCAAAAATCCACAAGTTAGACCAGGGAGTGGGAAGGAACTCGGGGTTTTTGCCGTGAAGGACTCTGTCCCAAGCATTTCAGAGGACAGCCCTGCCTCCCTGCAGCTTTTCTACTGCCCTGGCAGTAGTGAGACCAAAGATGCATACACCACCTCCCCTCTGCAAATGCACATCCTCGTTATTGACCACACAAGCCCTGGGCTCCAGGTCTAAATTTGGGCTATCCAGGTAGGATGCAGCCAGCACCTTGTGGTAGCATGGTATTTGTATAGGCCAGTACTCCTAAATCCAGTTCCTATGGGACCTTCGTTAGCATCCGGGGCAGAGCTCCTTTCCTCTCCTAGGTGACTTCACTCCTTCAGACATTAGGAAGAAATGTTTTCCTGTGCGGGTGGTGAGGCAGTGGCCCAGGTTGCCCAGAGCAGCTGTGGATGCCCCATCCCTGGAGGGGTTCAAGGCCAGGCTGGATGAGGCTTTGGGCAACCTGGGCTAGTGGGAGGTGTCCCTGCCCATGGCAGGGGTTGGAACTAGATGGTCTCTAAGGTCTCTTCCAACCCAAACCATGCTGTGATTCTATGATTCCTGGGCATTGGTCCCTGTTGACTGGGGACAGTTTGAAAGGTGGCTCCAGTATAGAGCCTTTCATACCCATCCCAGCTATAGGGTCCTGATCACTGGGGGACCGTGATTTCTGCTTGAGTGGGGGGAGCGTAGGACTCTTCAGGTTCCTCATCTTTGCTCCCCACACTTCTGTAGGAACAGGTGCATTCAGATAGTTTGGCAATGTGAAATGGCTGTTACAACAGCATTTAAAAAAAACCCCACAAACAGCTCCTCTAGGTGATATTTGTATTGTAGCATTTCTACTACTAAGTGGTCAGTCTCTGGGACTTTGCAGTCTCTCAAGTACCCCTGATCCTTCAGGGCTGTAATGCTCGTAATCCAGGGGAAATCTCTCATGGGTACAGGCCATGGAGCATGGTTGAGAGATGATGCTTTGTAGAGTAAACTCAGGGACTTCACAAGCACTGCAAGGAACCCCAGTTCACTACTGAACCCACCTACTGTCTCTGTGCTGCTGGCTGGGGGAAAGCGTGATGTGCTGCCAGGGCCTCTGTGATGACACTGGATCTGTGTCCAGCTTCCCAAGAGACCCCGCGAACTTATTTGAGTTTATTAAAAACTACTAGCTCTGTGCAGCTGGGTAAGACTATGAGGACAGGCTGAGAGAGTTGGGATTGTTCAGCCTGGATAAGAGAAGGCTTTTGGGGTGACCCTATTATAGCCTTTCGGTACTTAAAGGGGGCTTGCAGGAAAGATGGGGAGAGACTTTTTGTAGGGCCTGTTGCAATAGGACATGGGGTAATCGTTTTAAACTAAAAGAGGGTAGATTCAGACGTGGTTTAAGGAACAGATTTTTTACAATGAGGGTGGTGAAACATGGGCACAGGTTGCCCAGAAAGGTGGTAGATGCCCCATCCCTGGAAATACTCAAGGTCAGGTTGGTCAGGGCTCTGAGCAACCTGATCTAGTAGATGTCCCTGTTCATTGTAGGGAGGTTGGACTAGATGACCTTTAAAGGTCTCTTCCAACCGAAACTATTCTCTGATTCTATGAAGACTCAGTGTTCCCTGCCTGGCTACAAACAGCATCACCTTCCGTAATTCAGGGCTCAGGTTTAAACTAGCTTTGGCTTTACAAAGCAAGTCTCCACCCATCTTGTTTCCAGCTCAGAGTTGCAGAACAGAGGATGTATCTCAGCTTCTGCAACCTTTGCACAAAATGGAAATAAAAAAAAACACTGAGTACCAGTCCTTGCTTCAATGGGAGGCAGCAGGCATAGGGGATGAGCTGGTGAGAGGATAGACCGAAGCACAGTGGGACCCTGGCATTGATCGGTACTGTTGTTCACAATGTTTTCACATAAAACTACAAGCTCTGGGCGTGTCTCCATACTCCTGTAGCTCCCGCTGCAAGGGCCTGCCCACTTAATTCAGTATTACGCACGCTAAGTGCGTGCTTATTTTTTGTCAATAATGCTTGCTCTTGCGTCACCTCTGACTCATGCTTTCTCTTTGTTGGTGTCCAGGGGATGAAGCATAGCTGTTCATAATGGCATTAAAAAAAGCACTACACATTGGAGAAATTGGAGCCTATGCACTGTTCACCCAGCTGAGCTGGGAGGTTTGAGGGCTTCCCAGTAAACAGCCCAGCCTTAGAGGTGTGGGGCTGAATCCTGGCTCTTAGCATCTTGTGGTTAATCACGTTATTCCAGGGCAGTGGGGAGCCACAGCCACCCGTGCCGCTGGGCAGGTACTGTATAAACATGGAACAAATAGAGTTTCTTCCTCATCTTCCTCTTCGTCCACCCCCAGTAGGCTTTGCTTTAAGCCGGTGACATTGCAGTCGGACAGTGAAGCTCCTCATCTGCTCAGAGGTGCTTCAGAGCTTTGCTGTCCTGAGCTTTTCTCCTGTGGCTGTCTCTGGAGGGGCAGAGCTGCTTCCCGTACTCCAGAAAGCTCCACTTGTATGAGATGGGACCCAAAGCCATGCTCTGCTGTGTGGAGCCATTGTAATCATGTCATTTTGCTGGGCTTCACCCTTTTTGTTTGTGTTTTCAGCATCCCTGTCATCAGTTGCCAGATCTGCAGGCAGAGGGAAAGCCCTGAGGCCAAAGCAGAACTGTGTTAGATTCCAATTTAATTTTTAAAAAATTGACTCAAAAATACTAATCAATTCAGTTAACATCCCAAACTTCATCACATCTCACTTTTGGCTGAGCTACCAAGAGAACTGCTGATGTTTTAGTTGGTCTGATTATTTTAGGAAGTTAAATCCACCTCGTTTGTTTTCCTGATTTTATTCAAAGAGTTTTCCAAATAAAACGGACCAGGACTTTCTCTGGCATACCCTGCAGTGGTCCTTGGGGCCAGTGCAAGCCCAGAACATGATTAGTGGGAGAGATCAGCAGAGCATCCATGAAGCAAAAGGTGTGATGGTCTGAAGGGAGCAGCGGGGCAGGAACAGCGCTGGAGCAGGCTCCGGTCCCCCGAGAGCTTTACCCGGGGGCTTTGGTGGGAGCTGCCAGGCCAGGGGTGAACCCCAGTCCCAGCTGTAGTGCAAATCTGCAGAGCACCTCAGATACGCCTGTCATTTCATCCCGTGCCACAGGTGGTTTCCGTTGTGGGATTCTGTCCCAGCATCTGTCTGGTTCAGTTGATTCATTGGGTTTCTGTGCTCTCACCTAACATTTATCAATATGTAGCTCACACCGAGTTCCTCATTGTTATTTTATGGGGAACCAATGTGGCACAAATTGGAAAAAAATATCTTCCCCTCTGTGCCATTCGATGTTGTACAGCTGTTCCAGAGTTTTCCCTTTTCTTTTCTGTATGTTTTTGCCTTTTGTGTTATTTGGTCTGTGAAGTGTCACTATTATTTTATTTTGCTTTTCAATAAAACATTTTCACTTTTGCATTTCAGTCCGTGTGCATTTCTCCTAAGTACCATTTTCCTCCCCATTACATCCGCAAAAGGCCACTAAAGAAAGATGACTGTGTGCAGTCAAAGCATCAAGATCATTTGGGGACACCTCCTGCGAGGAGGAGGGGTGGGGGGAAGCATTTTCCTGGCTGGTTCCTGATATCCTGCAGAGATCCTGAGGCACCAGCACTGCTACCAGGGCCATGCAGGCAGAAACCCAGTGACACGCAGCATTCAAATGTCACCAGCAGTGAACACGCACGCACACAGAAAGTCTCTGACCCGAGGAGTGCTTCCTCGGCAATCACAAGCTAGAAAGATGGGAAGGAAACGCCATCCCTTTGCTGGAGAGACCAAGCCAGAATGTCAAACAGAAATCTTGGAAATCTGCCCTAACCACAGAAATCAAACTCGCTCTTAGGCTCCTTTGCCCATCGCCTTTCAGGGAGTTGGGTAGAAAAGGTTCATTCAGCTTCATATTTTCTCATCCAAGCTATTTTTCTTGGCTTTTTCCCTTGTTTGCACGCCAGCAGGTAAGTTGAGAGAGAGCCTAGCGCTTCCAGACCACTCGCAAAAGGAAGACTCGTGACAATCTGTGGATTTGGGCTCTCTGGGGTCTGGAGTCTGTGACTCCCCAGCTTTTACTGGGCTGGGTCAAATGTGTGGCTCTTATACTCCTCTGCTACATCTCTGGGGTGCATCAGACACAAGTAAAGCAGAAAAAATGTGCAGTGCCTTCATAACCATGTAGAAAAGATGGACTTTTTTAGTTTAAAGCAGATTTCTATCAAATTTCCAGCTCTGTTGGTACCCGAACCTCCACAGCATTATTGCTGCGTGTCCCATTCTTTGCTGTTGGTGTCACTGGGAGGAACCATCCTGCTTGCACATTGTGAAGTGGCCACTCAGGATTTTTCCTGAGCTGGGATTACATTGTAAACTGAACATCCCAAGATATCCCGGTCAGCCAAGTCTAAGTGCATCACAGTCTCAGAAATAAAATCTATCTTTGGGAATTTGAGTGTTTTCCCTGCCAAAAAAAAATGTTGAGCCTAAAAAAAGTGTTGCAAATTCAAAACTGATAAAAGAAAACCACCACTGTAAGCTCGATGAAAATATTTCATTTCAGCCGTGTTGGAATCATTCCCATTAATTGTACCTGTGCTGTTTGAGCAGGCAGGTAGAATAGGTGACCTCCCAGGGGCTGCTCCTGCTGACGCTTCGCTGGGATTCTGTGATTCCAGTTTCAAAAAGAAAGACCTTTCAAACCAGCAAAGGAGCTTTTTCTTTCCCAAAATGTTGAAGCTTGGCTGATTTCAAAATAGATCTCAATCAGTTATAGAAAGGTTTGAATGAGGTCTGGACTCAGGAAATTGGGAGATTGCTGCCAATTCTTTGTGCATTTGCAATAGGGTGGTAAGAACGTTTGATGGCATTAAGTGACAATTCTGACAGAATTAACTTTATCATCTGCTTTTATTTTCCATGAATCAGTGTTTTCCTGTGTGTAGGG